TATCGTCGTCATCGGTGGCGTGAGGGAAGACACACTGATCCGCGTGATAGCATGTATTGTATTCATTCCACAGCGGGTTTACAGGGATCTCCCAAAGACCGGGATATGCTTTGGTCGGGCATTTCAGCGGTCGCCCCAAAAATGGTGAGTTTCGGCGAACCCTCTGTTTCCTATCGACGGTCTTATCGTTTGTCTTCTTATCGGCAAACGTTGTCTTCTTTTGATTCTTTGGCTTTTTTGCGCTCCTCTTCTGTCGACCTCTGCTCTGACGGCCGAGAATATCGTCGCCGTCGACGGCCTTCTTCTCTTCGGAGGATTTCTTATTGTTGTGACAATCAAATGGTTGCCTATAATCCCAAGTGAAGGGCCAAAAGGGTGGCGTACCCTTCGGGGCCACAACACTAGAGTCGTATAGTAGACCAAAATCGCTGGCCATCTCGAACATAGGGTCTCCACCTTTTGGTTCGGATACAAATCAATTAAATATAACATACACTACACATGTATAGCGCAAACGGCAGTTACTAAACCTGGTTTAATATACGGCGCTCTCATTCCCACTAAAGTCTCGCGACTGACCGCCGGAACAGAAGAGGAGCCAGAGTTGGCCAAAATAATTTCCCGAATGCCGATCATCTCTTCGGCCCAATCGCTATAGTTTGCATTGTCTGTCCACCAGATTTCCGGCAAACGATGGCTGCCGTTCACATTTGCATTCAATTATACACTTAATTGTAATTTCAATTTGTATTATCAAATTCAATGCTATGAGAAATACACACGTGATTGAATGCATGGCAATTTCGTGCCCCTGAGCCGCCAACCACTGGATTTGGGCGTAATTGGAGTACTCGTGGTTTATGAAGAATGTGGCTTTGATTCCACACCCGTTCGGGTTATGTCTTATTTAGTTAACGATGTTTTGTCATCATTTGTATTACAATGGGATTTGGTTTTTGTGAAAAATTAGTAAAATATAAATAATTCATTAAATTTCTCTATAATTACAAACCTATTCTGATTGGCGCCAAACTTATTAGTGTATCCCAAAACTTTTTTGTAGAGTTCAAACACTAGTTCATTGAGAGCACCGCTGAAGTTGACTAAAACCATTTGCGGCGTTTCGTTGGCGTTTAGACCACCTTTTTGAAAACATAGTTATCGTTAATCCAGATTAACCTCAGCATAGGATTAGTGACTCATACCGGGTATAGAAGTGCCCTCTTCTGAACAAAAGCAATTGGGAAGTTGGCATTGGGTTGTGTCACAAGTGAGCAGTTTGTCCTGATTCCTCTCCAGTTCTTCTTTGCGGGTCTCCTCTTCGCTGACGGGTCCGCACGTGAGTTGCGGTGTTTTGAACGTACAGTACTTGAGTTTGCCGTCGAAGTAGAGACTGGGCGGACACGTCTGCGACCACGCCTTCCACGACCCGCAGAGCATGAATTTGCGGCAACTGTTTGGGTCCGGAAATAGACCGTCCGCTTTGGGGCACACGAACCGAACCTCACCGTTAGAGTCGGTGTCTTTGTCTTCGTCCTCATCATCGGATGCCGGTTGCGATTGCGGTCCTCCTCGCGATTGACTCGGTTGTGGACCCGCCGACGGTTGACTGCCTCTCCTATTGCCTACATTTTGTGCAGTCGATTGTGAGGCGGCCGCAGATGACGGCGCTCTTCGGCCCTGTTGTTGAGTCGGCACTTCAATTGGTAATCATTTTTAATTGAGATACAATTTACCAACAATTTAAAAATATTTTTATATATCTATTATATTTATACAGTATTTATTTGTTTATAAATTAGACAATTAATGTCTATACATGTGTATCTATTAGTTTTGTAAATCAAAGTACTGCAATACGTCTATTGAGAAAATGCTGAATAAATAATCAGCAAAAAATATAATCGAAGTTTTTTGCTTATCTTTTTGCATTGTGTATAAACTTCGTTAATTAACAGTTAGTACCGGTATTTATATTTGCCTATCAATTATATTAATGTAAATTTTGCTGTCAAACAAGTGATACTATGAGAAATTAATGCAAAATACAATAGCATTTAAGAATATGAATATTAACTTTTATGTTATCATTATATGAATGATAAGTCAGAATAGCGTATAATAAGAAGTGATTTGTTTTAAACGGCATGTAATCGAGTGGAAGAACGAGTATACCTGTGCTGTGGTATCGGGTGCTGACTCTGACCCACTAACACATCACATCTTCAATGCAATCACACATTTATATTGCACTCAAGGCTTCTCATGTCTGACAGAATTTTATATTTTAAATGTAAATATCATATCATATACTGTATAATACATTCATATAATTACAATTAAGACAATTATTGCCATAGTATTCACTATACAGTACACTATTCGCTATACAGAATAAGTTATAGCCTTGTATTGTGTGTGTTTGCGTACGCTATAAGCCTTGTAAATCACCTTGTTCCATTTACCTTGACTTTGATTTGATTTACTCTCGACAAACACTGCATTCATTTGTATAAATAACACTATTTTTCTTATTAAACACTCTATGTATATATAAAAGCAGCGTTTAAAACGTTCATTTAATTGTATTAATATTTCCAAATAATTTCTACATAGATATCTGTATAAATATAATACAGTAATTATTGTTATACAGTATTAAGTGTTTAAATAATTTTTAAGTTAAAGTTTAATGAATAGGTTATCGATAAAAATTAAAAATCATTGAATATCTTATTACTTAATGTTATAATTATTAGGAAATAAAAATAACGGTAATAAATTAGTACAAGAACTCAAAAATTCAAACTAAAAGCAAATATAGTTAAACTAAAAATTTGTAAAGTGATTTATATAACAGTATTTAAATTTTAACAATATTTAATCTAAAAATATTTAAATATTAAAATATTTTCAAACAAAAGACTTACCAAAACTAATGCAAAGTAAAAAACCAATGAATATAACAAAATTCATAACTTGTCGTACGTTCACAATAAGTTTGTGTGTATTAATTAATGGAGAGCACAGTTAGCACACAATTCATGTGGTCGTCGGGCGCTGGGATGTGGACCAGCAGTGGATGCCTTAGTTTTGACTCAATAAACTCGTTACACGGGTTTTCGTATCCAATAATCAAGTGTTTTGCGCATAAAATCTCTGCTAATATTTCGGTTTTAAGAAAATATATCTGTGTTTCTCTGAAATAGACTATATATATAATATATATGACTTATATATGATATAACTATTACTCAATTTAGTTCACAAATTAATTATTAGCACAAAAAAATGCATTGAGTTTTTGAAAACAATTGGATAAACTCTACGGCAATGATGAGAGCGGACGATATATGGCGTGAAAATTGAGTATTATTTTGCCGACAAATACAATACACAAATGAATTGTATGAATGGCTGTTAAAAATGAGGTTCACAAAGGAGTCTGCGATTGAGGTCAATGGATCGCCACACAAATGGCAGGCCTTTTCATCGTCTCCATTGGCCAGTCGTGTCGTTATTGTCATCACCTAATTGTTTGCCCGAAGGACTTCCTCAATGAATATGTAATTAATTTATTGCTCTTTATTTTTTGCATTCACTTCGCAATCAACTTGTTTTCAATACGAGAGTTGTCTGTCTTCCTGTCAAATCAATTTCATCGCAAATATTTGTTTCACTTATTTTGTTATCGAGTGTTGAAAATAGAAAGTAAATCTAAATTAAACTTATTTTTGAATTTTATTTTAAGTCAATATTTACACTTAATTTTGCAGTCAAATAAGAAGTTAAATATAATCGTTATATAGTTTTGTGATATAATTAGTAAAAGTAAATTTCTATTTGATTTCTATGTGTAATATTCCCAACAAATTGAATTCCGGGAGAGTTTTTGTAATGAAAAGATCTATAGATATAAGAATTACTTTCTCTTATCAATTAAATGATCAAATTATACAATCAATGAACGAGTTTTAGTTACTTTAGCCCAAAGCCCGACTCAATTGCAGACATACATTATTTTGGATAAATGATAATTTCTTATTAATATTTTATATGTTTAATTATCAATACATTTATATCAAATATAATAACATTTAAGATTAAATATGTTAAATATTATATTTGATAAAAATAAAAATCCACGATAAAAGTCAGGCTGTAAACCAGCATATGCTTTGGTTTATCTAATTAGTTGTTTAATACTAAAAAAACACTTAACGAGGAGTTCATTGACTGAAAAGATAAAAATCATTCAATTGAAAGAAAGAGTGAATTTTAGCGTCAATTCAAACGCTATCCAAATATCTCTCTCCTTCTCATAAGGCGCTCATTTGTAACCTATTTTTAAAAGCCTTTACAAGGATTTAAAGCTAAAAAAGTTAACGTAAAAAATATTCTACTATTTGTTTATCTTAACAATAAGTGAATTGTGATTTTTAAATTACATTTTCAAATTATGGTTCATTTAAATGAAAAATATTTACCATAAGTACAATAAATATAGAGTCCTTCGTATTTACCTTATGCTAACATTTTAATATAACTTATTATTTACTTAAAATCATTAGCTTTTCTTTACTTTAATTCCATTAAAATGGCATAAATATCAGCAAAAGAATAAAGTTATGAATAAAAATCATTTAAATGCATAGAAATAAACACATTTAATATGAATTGAATGAATGGTTGCTATAAATACTTATAGTTTTGATATAAATATAAAAACAGTGTATTATATATACAAAAAGGGCAAAGAATTTGATGCTCTTTGGGATGCCATCAATAGTTCATTCAATTGTATGTATAGTTCAGTAAACCTTAGCGTATAAGTCAAATGTTGTTGTCCTTCCCCTTACAGTTCATCGCCAGATATCGGCACTCAGTTAGAGTCCAATGCCGTCTCTCCCGGAGCCCAACGATCATCCACTTTGCCGTTCAGTTCATTCGCCGACTAAACTTATCATTCAAAT